CAGTTCACTCCACATAGATGACAGCTGCTGGCGTCCTCCAGGCTTTCTGCTGGGCTTTTGGGCCAGTGGGGCTTAGAGTAGGGCACCAACCAATAGATGGACAGACCCTCTGTAAACTACTGAGACGGGTGGCTGACTGACAGTAAAAACAGGTTTGCCCTTTCTCCTTTCATGTATGTTAGCATGGTAGAACACTCCCCCATCCCTAGCTCACTTTCTGCTGGTCCCCTCTTTCAGCTATAGTCCGAAATTAGTAAATGGAAAATTCCAGAAATCAACAGACCATACTCACATTCTTTTATTTCAGTATCTTTTATATTGTTCTATTTCATTAGTTATTGTTGTGAATTTCTTATTGTGATTATTTATACCCTATCATTGGTATGTTCATATAGGAAAAAATACAGTATTGTGAGGGTGAGGACCATTGTTCAGGCATCCGCTGGGGCCATGAGATGTGGATAAGGTGGCTAGCGCATTTGCTGTGTGCACTTGGAAACAATTTAGTTAGATGCTTGCATATGCCTGTCTGTCTGGAGAACTGGTTCCTTTATCATTAGGGGAATGGTCCTCTTCTTTGTAACCATTTTTCTGAACTCTTCTTTGATATTAGCTGGCTCCCCCTAACTCTTTGTATCGGAGAGTGTCTTAAACTACCCATGCCTTTAGATTCATAACTTAATTATTGTAGGTAGTGCAGATTTGAGACTTGCATTGCTTTAATCCCAATCTAACAATTTTATCTTTTGATAGTGTTGACTGTTTGCATTTAATTATATGAACGATGTGGATCAGTGAGAAGCCACCATCTTTGCTAGTCTTTTCTCCTTGTCCCATCTGTTCTTTTGTTTTTCATCTGTCGCCCTATCTTGGATTAACTGTGGTGCTTAGAGACTCTATTTGCCCGGGTTATTTGCCTATTAGTGTTTAGTTTAGCAGTTAACCGGGGTTACCTTAGAATTGTTCATAAGAACCTCTGCACTGCTCATTTGCCCTCACTGTGGACAAGGTGCAGCGCTGCTCTCTTGGCTGTAGAGATCTGGTTATCTCAGAAGTACTGAAAAGGAGAGAAAGGGGAATTCTATCTCCACCTCCATTGATTCCATTTCCATCACTCTAGGTAAATACAAGTCGCTGCTGGTCACCTTCCTCCTCGTGAGAATTTGGCACTGTCCTGTGCAGATGAGCAGGCAGTGAATGGCTTTGGGTTTTGAGAAAGCCTCTGAATCTCCTCTATGTCTCAGAGCTCTTTGCCAGAAGTGGAATTAGCAGGGTTGTTTTTTGTTGTTGTTGTTGTTGTTGTTGTTTTTATCTCTTTAAAGGCACCACCTGCTATCATCCCCTTTATCTGCTTGCCCTGAACCGTGTGCTCCAATTCTTACCTTTCTGTGTGTCTTCTTTGCAGTTGCTTTCAGGAGCTATGTAAGGGGTGGGGTGGCATGTTTTTGTTGTTACGTTGCTGTTATGATTTTCCCCAGTGATGTTCTCATGGCTTCCCTGATCTGTGGTTTTGTTTGTTTATTTTGTGTGTATGTGTTTTTAGTATTTCCTCTGCCTCTCCCTCATTCTTCTAGAGTGACACTGACACAGACCTTCAGCTTGTTGTTGCTGACCTGCCCTGCAGCTCTTGGGTGTTCTGCTTCTTACCCAACCTTTGCTACTTTTTATTGCAGCTTGGCTGGTTCTGCCAGACCCATCTTGATGTTCACAGAATCTCGTGAAGCTGTTCTTTTATTCATTTGTAGTTTGTTGTGGGTTTTGTTTTGTCTTGTCTGTTGTTATTGTTGTTTTATTTCTAGATTTTCCCTTTGAAACTTAAATTTCTTCTGTCCTCTAAAAGCAGATACCAAGTCCTGTGTGGTGCTCATCTTTTCTATCAGTTTATAACATCAGTTATCTTACACTCATTGTCCAATAGTTGCAACACCGGGGTTGTGTCTAAGTTGGTACTTCCTGTGGCTTCAGGCACCCACTGGGGTTCCTGGGGTACACACAAGGAGAGTGAGCTGCACTTGCTTTAATGCTGTGCAGTAATGGAGAAGCCCGCATACTTGTCATGGTGCTGTCTTTTTAGAGAATTAGCCCCTTTATCGTTGTCTCTAGTGTCATGACTTCCATAAATCTGATAAGGCAAAAGATAACAGAGTGGTGTCTTCAAAGACTGAAAGAAAAACTGCCAGTCTCAAATTGTGTATCTAGTAAAACAGCCCACAACATGCAGGAAACACAAAGGCTTGTCAAACAAAACAAAACAGAACAGCTTCATGCCTGCACACCTGCACTGAGTCCTGTTCTTTCAACTCTGTGCCTTGTCAACACATGGAGTATGGGTGACTTCTCTTCTTCCTCAAAAGCTTTTTGTTTTTCCCTGAAAGTCATTTTTCTAAGAAAGACTGGGGAGATCACTACACTCCTAGGAATGGGCACACACAGTTTGTCTTTACTGTGCATGCTAGAATCTGTCAGAACACACGGGGAGGTCACCCCCTCCTGGGGAAGAGAGATGTGTTGCATAAAACAGATATTCAAAATCTTCTTTGGCTAGTGGGAGATAATATCAGTAGATTTACAGGCTGAAAGTATGAGAGAACTCTTTCCAAAACAAACCAATAAATCCTCTTGGGCCTGTTTTGAAAGCCTTTGCTATTCTCGACATTTGCCACCAGGGGGTGCCCTGCCCCGCAGCTATGTGTCTTCCTGGGTAAAGCAGATGTTCAGTAAGAATCTTCCATGTACATGTGACAGGAAAGCAGTGCAAATGATGCTCATGAGGAGGACCTGCTTTTGAGGTGTCCCTGGCTGTACCTCCCCTCAGCCCTCAAGCAGGTTGAGCTGTATATCCCCAGCCCCTCACTCAGGACCTATCTTTCACCCCAAGATCTGGGTTGACAGGCTGTCAGGTTCTTTCTAGGTAGCCAGCACTAGCATCTTCAGGCATGTTCCAGTTGTCTTCTCAGAGTGGACAGGCTGAGGAACCCAGGCCAGCTCATCTGCTGAGGGTAAGAATGCGCAGGCACCTGTAACAGGGAGGTAAGGATGGTGGGGCGTCTTAGTGTAGGTAATTTATTAGAAACAAAACAAAACCATAGAGGCTTACAACATACAGGGTGGGCTCCCAATTAAATGAATCCTGTAACGGGGGTTAAGATCAACAGGCAGTTCTTCCTGGGGTTCAAGAGCCTGCTCCAGCTGCCTCAGAGTTCCACTGTCTTCACAGGAGACATGGGCAGAGAGAGGGAAGCCCCCTCGCCCTGGCCATAGTCCCCAGAACTTACATTACTTTACTCACAGCCTATAGATTCAGCTACGAGATCCCTACCTCCCCAGTGCTAAGAGGATGGGAGGTGTAGTCACCATGGCAGATGTTTCTCCAACCAACTCTGCCACTGAACCCAGCATGTCCAAATTATACCCACGGGAACTGATTCTGATAGATTATTGTTGTCTAGAGCAATCTTTTCCAGAATCCCTTGATTCCAATATCCGCAGGGATGCATATTTACAATTTAGTCCACTATCGTCATTCAGGGCCCTTGGGTTGCCTGAGCCTCTGCATGCAGGAGTGCAGAGCCCTAGGAGTCTGGGAAGCAGTGTTGGTTAAGAGCACCTCTGCTGCCTCCAGACACTGGTGGGAAGCTGGGCCAAAGCCTCAATGTTTGTGCGCTCACCTATGGGCATCACCCAAGGGAGACCTGCTCCTGGGCCAGCCCAGAAACCCACTTTGCAGCACAGCCCTGGAAAGGGAGGCCATATCAAAGCAGAAGCTGAGATACCACCACCCCCTCCCCCATCAGACTCTGCCTGCACTCCTCCATCTCTAGCCACACACAGTGAAAACCCCTAAGCTGGCAAATAATCAGCAAACCTGACTTTTGTTTGTTTAAGGTTGACAGACATGGGGAAGGAATAGGGAGAGTGCAGTTTGCACTCACAATCTCCCTGACAACACTAGAGAGCAGCATTGAGTTGTATACAATTTCTCAAACTTGACAGTATTGGCTCCTGGATTTTCTGTTTTGTTTGCCTTTTTGTTCTTGCCATGGCACTGCATGGTATGAATCATGGATTATGGCAAGAAAAGGAACAAAGCAGATGCCAGAGGCCCTGGGCTGGGCTTCTCTGTGGTGGTGAGACTCCAGAGGGGTGGGGCATTCTAAAGGGAGTGACACAGCAGACTGGTACTCATTTGGAAGGTGAAATTGGGAAACCAGCCTCCCCACTCCTTCCTGTTCGTTACTCCTGGCAACACCCTGAGGAGAAGGCAGATGTGGCATTAAGGATTCCATTTTCTGGGTAGCTGGACCCTCTCGGGAAGCCTTATCATATCTCAGTACACCTTTAGATACCCACTTCCAAGCCCTCAGATCTCTGAAGCCGGTGAGCCTCTGTCCATAAGTTTTGTGGAAGCAGCTCCTATGAGGGACAGCAGGCCAGATCCCCACCTCCTCAGAAGGCTCCCCGCTCCACTCTACTTTTAAGCAGGCTTTAGCCCAGCACTATGTGGCTGCCTTCTGTAGACTTGTCACTAGAGCCTGCTTTGCTACTGTGTCATGCGGCCCTCTCCCCCACCCCAAGTCTTGCTGCAGTAAAACTCAGCACACACCTCTCCTGACTTGCAAACTCTGCCCTTCACTGAGATGAAATGGAGGCAAGGCTCAGGCCACTCACACAGTGGCCTCCTCCAGTAAACCTCCCCCATCCTGGGTCTTTCCTTGACGGTGCCTGCCCTCTAACCCAGACAGTCCAGGCGATGCCTCCACCTGCTCTTCATCTACATAGCAGGGTCGGGTTTTTTTGTTTGTTTTGTTTTGTTTTGAAATCTATGGTCTTAACACTGCTGGTATGAAGTTCTATATCTACCTTCTGTCTCCATTGAGTTGCCTGTCACCCGGACAGCTAGCCTTGAATTTCCCTTACAGAGCTCTGAGCTCTGCTGAGGCTCCCAGCCTCCTGGCAGGCCAGTGAGCTGCCTGCCACCTTGTCCCTCTCTTCTGTTTCAGCTGTCATCCCCCTGACAGATTCTGAGCACAAGCTGCTGCCCCTGCACTTTGCGGTGGACCCGGGAAAGGACTGGGAGTGGGGAAAAGACGACAACGACAATGCCCGGCTAGCCCAGTAAGACCTGCCCCATGGCCGGGTCCCCACCCCAGCACCCCGTGGGAGAGCCCTGGGGCGGGGAGCTCCTGTTGGGGGTGGGGGTTGAGGGCTAGAGGGCAGAGAGAAGATGGTGTGTGCAGACGGGTGAGCTTGTGCCACATCCGGAGCTTTTCAAACCTCGTGTTCTTTCGTCAGCCTCATCCTATCCCTAGAAGCCAAGCTGAACCTTCTACACAGCTACATGAATGTGACATGGATCCGCATCCCCTCAGAGACCCGGGTGAGCCTCACGTGCAGAGCCCCGCCCCTGCCATGGGGGAGGAGGAGTGGCCGCTCTGTGCAGTGTGGGATATGATGCACCTCCCGCCTGAATGTCCGTAGGCAGAGCTGGGGCCCCACGCTGGTCACCGGCAGCTGCGCCGTGTGTGTCTGTGTGTGTGTGTGTGTGTGCGCGCGCGCCCCAGTTAGGATTTTTCCTCTTATTTTGCACAGCAGGAGAGGAATAACACGCCCACTCACAAAACAAACCGTAGGCAAGTCATAACACAAAACTATCTCTGCTGAGATCGGAACAAGATGTGCCGCGGCAGAGCGGAATTAATTATAACTGTGTGGATCCTTAGAAAAGCTGGGGCACCGACCTCGCAACTCCTCAGCGCGCCCCCCTCCCCTCTCCTCCCCTCTCCTCCCCTCCCCTCCTCGAGGCGGAGGTGGCCGCAGGTGGAGCTGGCAAAGAAGGAGAGCCGCCCACCGGTCTCCCGCGGAGGGTGGGGGTGGGGGCCCGCTGCCCTAGGGGGACTATTGGGCTGCCCCTGCTTGCAGATGATGAGAGATTCGTTTTAAGTTTGTGACTGATGTTTTCATAATCTCAGGAGGGAACTCCCAAGGAAAGGGATTTGTGAAAATTGCTTGTAAATAATTGGTCCTCCCTGACATGCGTTTACTTAAGCACCCAGTGGGCTCTAAGTACTGAAAGGCGAGACCCTGCTGAATGGTGACTGCCCTGCTGCTTTGAGGGCTCACTTCCGCTTCACCTGCACATCATCTGAGTAGGGCGCCCCCACGTGACTCTAATTCGTCGTGTTCCTGAGGGCACAAGGGACAGCCAGTAGTAGTCATAAAGTCTTGCCTCTCCCATACTGGAAGCTGCCATTGCACCCCTCCATGATGCTTTCTAGCACCCACGTGGTATGAAATGGCAGCACCCCGAGATCCATAAGAACCCTCCAGGAGGTTCTGATGCTACTATGCGCTACTATGAGCAGGGTGCTTGGCCAGGCCTTGGCAGCCTTCCTACCCAGTACAAAGCTCTGCAGACAACCCCACTGCTGAAGGGCACACAGCCACACTCCCCAACTATTGGGCCCCCTTCCCTGTTTCAGCCTTGGGCCTCCCACCCTTTAGAGCCTCTGGCAACCCAACCCCAGAGTCCACAGTCCTTCCAAACCCAAGAAGGGATTTCTGCCTCGGGGGCTGGGGGTCGAGTTCTGCCAGCTATTGCTTGGGTGACCTAGCCACAAAGGGTCATCCCTCTGGAACCTGCTTGAGGGAAGGACAAAAGTAAAGTGAGGAGTAACAGCTTCTCCTATCTCCTCTGAGACCAGAAAAGCCTGTTCAGGCATGTACCAATGTACTAGTTTTCCTACACTCCCAGAGACTGGCATAAGGGATACTACCTGCCCAATGACCCACCTCAACTATACCCTACCCACCATGCCCTTCTCCCACAGCCTTCTCAGGCTTGCCACCTGTCCCCAGAGACTGGCCTTGCGGTGTTCTACATGGCCTTGTCCTCTGCACTGACTGGCCCCCAGGCAGTGTCATCCAGATTATTCACCACAAGATTCCTTCACTAGTATCTTTCCACCAGACCCTACATTCCCCTCTGGAAGCCATTTCCAGCATCCTTCTCAGCTTAGCATTCCACATTTGCACTAGGAGAGAGGAACCCCTTAAGTAACATGTCTCAGCTGGATAACGGGAGTAATGGATTCAAGACAAAGAATCGGGTTCATGGCAAGGTGTCTAGCCTGTGCTTAGAGTAAGTAGATGAAACATCTGTGTGGGAGAGACATTGTCTCACCTGGTGGCCTCTACCATTACACAGAGATCTGGAACCTCTTTCTAGTGGTGCCAACAGCCTGGCCAGGGAGGGACACCATAATGTGGACCTGGTGTCTCTCTATAAAATATACTGAGGTTCTGGAACTCCACACCAGTTGACTCTACTCATCCACTCAGCATTCTAGACTATCTATGAATTCCGAGATAAAGTTTGTGCACCCTCCCTAAAAGGATGGCACCAAAGGACCAAAGGTATGAGGTCCCTTCCAGATCACTTTGCCAACACCTGCAAGCCTGCCTTCCGCCCTTGCAAAGATCAGGGCTCTGTGCAAGATAACTATCCCATAAAAACCTCCATCCCTCTCTGGTAGACCTCACGCCCACCCCCCACAGCAGCAGAGACAAAAAAAAAAAAAAAAAAAAAAAAAAAAAAAAAAACAGGGTTTTTGGGGGTGTTCTGGGCTCAGCTCTACCTGTGTTCTTGGAACCTACACGGGGGCAGCTCTTCTTTAACTACTTTCCTTTTCTGCCTTGCCTCCCCACAGGCACCCCTTGCCCAGCCAGAGTCTCCAACGGCCTCGGCAGGGGAGGATGTACAGTCCCTGACGGAATCGCTGGACTCGGATCGCGATTCTGTGTGCAGCAATTCCAACAGCAATAACGGCAAGAACGGTAAGGACAAGGAGAAGGAGAAGCAGCGCAAGGACAAGGACAAGACACGTGCGGACTCCGTGGCCAACAAGCTGGGCAGCTTCAGCAAGACGCTGGGCATCAAGCTGAAGAAAAACATGGGCGGGCTGGGCGGCCTGGTGCACGGTAAGATGGGCCTGGCCAACTCTGCCAATGGCAAGAACGGCGACAGCGCCGAGCGCAGCAAGGAGAAGAAGTCCAAGTCGCGCAAGGGCAGTAAGGAGGAATCGGGAGCGTCAGCTAGCACCTCGCCGTCGGAGAAGACCACGCCG